AGTGCCTGGAAGAAAGAGGAATCCAGAGTACTTGAAGAGCTGTCAGAGAAGGCAGTTGTAAATCTAAATGGTGATGGACGGTGTGACAGTCCTGGCCATTGTGCCAAGTATGGCACATACACAATGATGGAAAGCAGTTCAGGAAAAATTGCCACGTTCAATGTTGTCCAAGTCACTGAAGTTTCAAGCTCCAATGCTATGGAAAAGGAGGGGTTTGTTAGGTGCCTAGATAAACTTGAAGAGTCAGTGACAATTTCACTAATAACAACTGATCGCCACACCTCTATCACAAGTGCAATGGAGAAAGACTACAGTCACATCTCACACCAATATGATGTATGGCATCTTTCTAAGTCAATTGTCAAAAAGCTCAACAAGAAAGCCAAACTAAAGAAGTATGAAGAGCWAGCACCTTGGATACAATCCATATCAAACCATCTCTGGTGGTGTGCTTCCACCTGCAATGGAGATGCTGCCTTACTAAGAGCAAAATGGAAATCRGTTCTTCACCACTGTACCAACAAGCATTCTTGGAGGGATTCTGATATCTTCAAAAAGTGTGCTCATCCCCGCCTTACCCGCAGAGAGGTGCTCAGCACATGTTGGCTAAAGCCAGGGTCACCAGCTCATGTTGCTTTAGAAGAGGTGGTGCTCCARCCAAAGCTTGTCAAAGACTTGGCAAGATTAACTGAGTTTTGCCATACAGGGGGACTTGAAGTCTATCACTCTGTGATAAATAAGTACTGCCCAAAGAGAGASCACTTCTCTTATGAAGGTATGATTGCCAGAACCCAACTTGCTGCMCTGGACAACAATCTGAACACTGGTAGGAAGCAAGCAGTTATTGAGAAGGGCCCCAGGAGTGGTGAAGCTCGCTGGAGGAAGTGTTTCCCGAAGACGCACAAGCGCTGGGTTGTCAAGCCTGTATTAGAGAAAAAGAGCTATGCCTTCCTTCCAGAAYTGCAGTTGAAAGTCCTAGAGGTGTGTGCAGAGGGAATGGAGGGTGCACAGATTGAGCCAATCGATGAAGTTGAATTGCCAAGCAACATTGCGAGCGAACCTGCCCCAGACAAACAASAACTTATTCAAAGACACAGGACAAGGTTCTCTAGGTAATTTGATTCAGTATAGAGCAATTTTATTTAATCCRTGAGATAAAAACTAAATAGTTCTTAACAATTAGTCATTACTTTTTACTAAATAGATGATAGCTCTCAAGCGAATCAACTTACATGTATAGTTCAATATTCAGGACACATTAAATACACAAGAATCAAATTTTAAGTCATTTATTCTTTATTACATTTGTACCGTGATATCAACAAAAATAAATGCAATAACTTGATGTCTCCTCTCCTGAGTATTAAACTATAAGTTGAATCGCTTGAGTGCTAAAAGTGACTAATTGTTGAGAACTATTTAGTTTTTATGTGAGAGATTAAATAAAATTGCTCTATGTATGGAATAAACAATAACATGAAACTGCACAAGCACTAAAAAGTTCTAATTAATACAAACTTCTTTATTTCAATTAATTAGTGATTTGGTACTAATTAGATTATAGTGCAGTTTCATGTGTTTGCACTCTGAGACTGAAATGTAAATTGTACAAAATATTGAGCTGTTGAAATATTGAACTGTTCTTGTTTTTCCAAACCCAGTGAAATGAAATTGAAATGGATGAGTACATTTTATCACATAGTTTGGCATAAAATGAAAATAACTTTGAGTATATTAATTATGCTAACTTATTCATTTAAAAGGTTTTTAAACAACAAAAACAATGATTTACAAATGTAAAGATTAAGAGCAAACTTAGTTGTTGAAAATTATAAAACAAAGCTCTAGGTATTTGACTTGATACAGCTAATCTCTAAGTATTTGAAAAAGTAGTCAAACCACCAGATTTGTCGGCATGAAAGGGTCCATACACATATACTGTATATCATATACTGTATATGTATTTTCTCTGGTTTAAATGAAATCACACTTTTCAAGTCATTTGACCATACTTCATACCATATAGTAAGTTACAATTTTTCATGTTCTAAAAGA